CCCGGGCTCATCTGCGCCTCCTGGCCGGGGCATCTTAAAGCTCCTTTTGCTTTTGTCTTCCTCGAGGCTAGAGAAGTATCATCCAGCATTACCGGTTCCTTCCCTGCTCCGTGCCATAAAACAGCCTGTCCACCTCACCCGAGCTTATGCTCAGCTTTATCCCCGTCCAGCAGTGCGGTGGAAGCGTGCAGAGGTTATTCTGGTGTCGCCTCTGTTGCGTGAGGGTGAGGGTTCGGCTCACTACAGCGTCAGCTTCCTTAACTTATTGTTTTGACATTTAATAGCAATGCCGGAGTTGTCTTTTAACCAAAACATTTAGCGGAGGCAGTGGTCTGAGGGAGCGCATCAGTGTCATAATGATAAGAGTATATTGAAACGACTTTTCTGGTTAACTTTGAATAATATACGTTTTTCTTCCTGGCCTTGACTGCATTTTACACAATAGTTCAGAAAACAAAATTTAGTACATACGAAGAAAATTGTAATTAAAAAAGAAACCCAAAAACTCTGCACAACCAAAGCAGATTGTGATCATATTTCACACATTTCAAACATAGAAGTTTGGTACATATTAAACTAACTTTTTCTCTCACCTGGATCTTGAAAGACCAAACTGTTAGACTCAGTGATATGGAAGTGGCAGAAAGTCTGATCAGGTTAGATGGGCTTTGATTGGCTGTTGTAGACTCTAATTTCGATAATTTGAGGCCTCTCAGAGTATAACACCCACATACGATCTGTAAAGAATACAGTGGCTTTTGTTTTTCATGCTCTGCCTTTTTTTGTTTTCTTGGTTGATTGATTTGTTAGTACGTTTTATTGAACATGGATGGTAAAATTAAGGCAGGAAGAAATTCAGAAAGAATTCTGTGTCGTATGAATATTATACAGCCATTTTAAGCACAAGCATTTCTTTTAGTTTTGAAGACGGAACACATATATTCACGAATGTAGTAATCAAACAAATTGAACAAACCTCTGCAGAACAGTCTGACTCCCGTCACAGGTATACTTGCTCTTGGTGTTACTTGGCATAATTTTGTAAGCTTTAGCAGTGATCAGAAGGCCACAAGCCCCTTGAATTTCCACACAGTAAAGATTAGTACTTTATGTAGAATATTTTTAACAGGTTGTTTCTCATCAGCACAGTATTGTGTAAAAAATGTTTTAGTTTTAAAATAAATCTTGATTAACACTTTGGGCTAGAGATATTTCTTCTGTTTTTTGTGTGTCCCACCTGTATATTTTAAATACTTTATAATGCTATTTCTGATTATGATTTTTAAACCTTTCTGAAAATACAGTCTCTAGGTTGGTATTATTCTTTGGTGTTTATGGCTTGTGTATTTCATTGCATTAATAAGTATGATCAGGATACTGTTAATTTCACAGTATTTTTGTTAAAGTTTAAAGCATCATATTGCGGTTGGCCAGAGAAGAAAGATTATTTTAATTCAAAGTACACTTTTGCAACTAGAGTTGGAAAACGAACTCCTTAAATATTATGCAACTTAGTTTATAGAAACTGGGCTTTTGTATCTCTGAGCTTGCCTACCTTGTTGCCTACCTTGATAGAATTTCTACTCAAAATCTATGTGGAAGCTTACTTAGTTGAAGCTGAACGTTTGGTGTTTTATTTTGCCTTCTAGGTATGAATGTTTAGCATTTGTGCCTGTCTTTTGTACTTTTTTTTTTCATTTTCACACTGCAGTATTGCTGATCTGTAAACCTGAAAGCTTTTGAGAGTAATTATGTATGTAGTCTTAGTCCAAAATTGAGTATGTGTTTATGAGCTCTTAGACTCTATAATTTTGAAACGAGGGTGCTGTCATTCACTTTGTGCATACAAAGCATCAGGGTTCTGATTTTAAGTACTTAGCTCTCAGTTTAAAGAAAAAAAATGTCAGGGGAATTCTAATAATGCGGAGGAGAATTTGTAAAATTAGTTGACAGTTTCTGAGACTGCACTGCCTAAGATTTTTTAAAATAATTTGTTAGCCACCTGCCCTGCACAGTTCTGTGTGAGTGATACTGCCTGTGCTGCAGTACAGATTGGAAAGTCATCCTTTCCACACTTGTCAATTGTTGTTAATGCTGTGCAGTACAAAACTTCCAGTTTACAAGAATGGGCAACTACTTGTAGTTTGGCTTTCTTCCAGTTTCAGTATAATCAGTCCTTTTGTTCCTGTATCACGGTGTAATTTAATTGGTTTTGGTCTCAATTAATGGGAACTTTGGGTCTTTAATGTTTTCTGAAGACAGACTTTCCCAGTGGGGAAATCCACATTAGTAGTACTCTGTAGGCAAGGAGCCATCTTACTGCTATGAAATGTCTCCACCTTTCGTCCTCTCCTAATTATTACAGGTTTTAAATCATGCAGGGGTTTTGTAGCAGGAAGATGTTGCTTGGTACAACAGATTGTAGTTCAGGAGAGGTCTGTGTGGTAACAAATAGAAAAATGTATTCTCTAAATGAGAAGTATGGTGATTTTATGTACTTCTGTCTTCTGGGAACAGTGGGAAAGCATAATTTTTCAGTATTTGAGAAGGTGTAGGGATGATACTCACTACTGGTTTTTTTTATTCTGTTGCAAAACCAACAGACAAGTAATTAATATTTTCAAGAGCCGCACTGTAGAGGCCCATTGAAGTTGGCTTAGTCACAGTGTAGATTGCAGTGGTGCTTTGACCCCCCACAGGCTGCACTTTGGTATCTCAGGAATACCAAAACAATTACACCGGTTTATTTGTTAAAAATACTTCAGTTTATATTACAGCTGAGACAGTGAAGTAAAATATTTAAAACTTCTAACTGTATGTTAGAAAAAATGCAAACCCAATATAATATGAAAATGCATTTTTTTATATTTGTGTCAGCATACACTGTTTTTATGTACCGGAAGAAAATACATGCTCATGACCTAAGCAATCACTTAATTCATTCCTCTGCCTAGATGTATCATGTCCAAAAGAGCATGTACAGCTTAGCCATTGTTGATAACTGTGACATGTCTATAAACAGGCATTGCACTTTCTCATAGACATTTAAAAAACAATTCAAATTCTGATGCCATATTAAATTAGTAGATGAGAATGTGTTTGTTTCTCCCAAGATTTTTTGAGATACTATCTAGTTAGATGGGTTGGAACATTGTGCTCATAATGCCAAGGTTGTGGGTTTGCTCCCCATATGAGGTATTCATTTAAGAGCTGCACTTGTTGATCCTTAAGAGTCCCTTCCAGCTCAGAATATTTTGTGATTCTTAAACTTTCCCCTCTTGAATACAAAAATTGGATACAGAAAAGAGGAAATAGAATGTTGTTTAAAATGCTTTCTTTATCCTGCATGTATCATCCCTCTGAGTCGCTGTTAAGTAGCTAAATACATTCTTTTGAATGTTTCTAAATGTGCATGAAAATTGAATACTATTACAAGAAGGAAAAGCAGTGAGCCATTTTTGTATGCAAAGTCCAGTAATTGCACAAGTTTTACACCTTTTTTTCTGTGCAAAAGTCGTAAGCTGAATAAACGTGTGGAATATGGAAGCTGTTACATAATTCTTTGCAAGAGTATTAGAAAAGGCAGAAGTAAATGATGATCTAGTTAAGAATCATAAAGTAGTTGCTAATATGTAATAGCTGAGTAACTGTTCCTAGTTTCAGTTTCTCATATAAAAAGTTTCTTTTTATTATTTTCTGCTGCTGGTATAGACATTAATGTTTTGTTAACTTTTTGTTTATTTGTCTCTTTTCAAAGCAAGAAGAGGAATTCTGTCAATATAACTCATTCCTGTACTGGAGAGCACCACTGCCTGCTATTGATTTGTCTGATATTCAGAACCTAGATGAAGAGACTCCATCGGGTGCCAAAACTGCTGCAAGGACTGATGCTGCAGAAACTGAAATGGAAACCTGATCAGTTGTTTCATAGCTGTGCATCTGTTCCCAAGGAACTTGTTTCCATTTAGATGGGGTTTTGTTCCTTGGGTGAATAATAAGCATGTTTTTGCGGTCTTGGAGAAACTGTTGTGGCAGTCTTTAAAAGCAAATCTGAGTTGCCTTAGTGGATAGGATGGACAATATTGGGTACTTAAGAGGAAGCTATCTGAAGGTGTGCAGTAAGGAGGAGCCAACAGTGTCTAACAGGAATACTTGAAGACATGGAGGCAGACTAAAAGAAGAATAAGGAAAATGAGAACTTCGGGATGCAATTAAAAGAAATGGGGATATGTTACATGTTGAAATGCAGAATTATTTTGTCTGTCCTAAACAAAAAAAACGTGTGGTACCTGAAAGTGGAGTATTTTAACATGTGATTTTATCATAAAGCACACAAACTTTTGTGATTTCTAATGTGTTCTTTTTTTTTTCTGTATAATAGCTAAACCAAAAAATGAGTCCATCAAAATTGGACAAAACATTCCCTTTTCTATGCAAACCAAAAACCAAGTGTGGCAGAGAAGGGGAAGGAAAAGGGGCTACTTTCTGCTGAAAGCTGCTGCTGTTCTGAAAAGTTTCACATTTTCATTGTGAAAAAGTTTTTTCACCTTCTCTTTTTTGCATTATGGATAGCAGTGGGCACCCCTTTTTTTATGTTTTTAGTTCGTTCTAAAGTTACTGCTGTTTTTAGTCTTTGTGATGTTGCTCTGAACCAGTTGATAGGATCTGAATGACAGGTTTGGGCAGATGTGTCAAGAAAAGTTAGTGCAATATAAACTGACCACACACACTTTTTCAAACTATACTGAAGGAGGTGTGGTTTTTGCAGAGACTGTGAATTTTGCAGAAAGTTTTTGCAGAAGTTCATTCAAATTGTGGTTTTTTGCTGTGTAATATGAACTTGATGTTTGTGATTTGCAATTTATTTACATATTGAAGTACAATTAGACGTCTTTAATAATAGACTGAAGTTGTGTGGGAAGACTTACATTTTGGAATATGATTTGTCTTTAAGGACAGAAAACGTATTTTTTCTGTAATCACTATGGAAAAAGGCAACTTTTGAATTTTATTTTTTTTCTAATAATGTGTTTGTTAAAGGACAATAAAGTTTTGCCTGTGTGTATGTGAAAATTTTGTCACTATTACTAAGTGAAGTTCTTGACTTTATTTCATAAGATTTCTGCTTCTGTATCTTTGTTTTACTAGGTCTTTTTGCTTTAAATAGTGAGCTTGTCAGCTTGCTTGGTAAACACTTGGAAACTTTTGCTGCAATTTGTGCTGCATAGGTTATCTGTATTTGTTGCTTATTCATTTAGCTTGTTAAGATCTCAAACCTTCAGGAGAAAGGAGGTGGCTTAGGGACTTAAGCAGTTAATGGTGCCTCTTTGAATATCCTTCTCCATTCTGTCAGGTTAGCTGGATACACATTTGGACACTATGTATTTTTCTCAGTTTTAACATTTTGTTTAAGTTCAAATACACCAACTTGTTTTAGGAGATACTTTGAATTTTTTTTTTAACAAACTTCTTTTATGGCAAGAAGGCTATAGAACTGCTATTTCATGTTTACTATAACCAAAATAAATTAGTGAAAAAATAGATCTATTAATTTGTTGAGGTATTTGAATTGGTTATATGATTAGGGGTTTTTGACCCTCTATAATACATGCTTTCCTGTATTTGTGAATTCTATAATATTTCAGATCATCCACTGTTCTCAGGATCCAGTATTTTGCATTATTAGCTAGTATGTTTGCAACACACTGCTCATTTAAAATCAGCTTGGTGCTTCATTCATGGTAGGTACATCCTAGCAATAGCCTGCATTTGATTAAAATCTGTCATTCCACTCCTTTCATGGAACAGAAGATGTTTTATTATGGTCTTTCAAATACATGTTTGATCTATCCCCTAACCAGATAAATAAGTCCTTTACAACAAATTAAGCTTGCAGTATGCTGTAAGCCATATGTTTACTTCATTTGCAATTGTGCTGTAGGCAAACACTTTCCTCATAGTTTTTTCCAGTTGTGGACTCTGTTATGGGCTGGAATGTTATGGTTACTTTTAGAGTGTTTCCTGAGCTGATTCATTTTTTCCATTCATCTCTTTGCAAATAGAGTGAATTTAAAAGCCTTGGAAAACTGTTTGAAATTACTCTTGAGAGTCTGGGTTATGCAAAAGGCTGGAGCAGTAATGAGGGGTGATGACAGATCACATAAATTTTGCACTAAAGCTGACAAAAGGTATAAGAAATTGCATTTCTCAGTGTCTGGTGTCTGCAGATGCCATGTGACACTGCACTGCCAAATTGCTGGTCTTGACTTCTGTCTCCATTTTTCTAGAGACCTTTCATTCCAAAGCTGCATGTAAACTGTATGTAAGTTTTAATCTGCGTATACATTAACATCCAGTGAAAAGAAAATGTTCTTTTAGGATGAAGAAATGCCATCACACATTGCAACAATTCAGTAGCTGCATACTGACTGACAGTTTTAATTTGATATGGTTTTAAATTTCAGAATGAAAAAAAAAAAATTTTCTATAGTTAACTGGGAGTTTGTATTCTCTGTAATATTTCTTTCTAAAGGGAAAGACCAGTGTCACAAGCTTAAGAACTTGCAAGGGGTAACTAGACCCCACCCGGGTTGATCAGGTGCAGTATCAGCAAGTTGCACAGTAAGGGTACAGGAATAATAGCAAGTCAGATGTGAAAGTTAAATATGTTTCAAAGCAGATTTAAACAACAAAGTAGCATGACCAACATTTAGTAAGTCTTTTGCATTATTCTAAACTAAAGGCCTAATTTATATTATTTGATTTGTGTTTATTGAAGTGTTTGATTATGTCTATGGTTCCTAAGATAGATAAGTCTCTGGGAAGAGATTAGAGCTCAGTCCAGATCAGGAAAGTGAAGAACTACTGAGAAAAACAGGCTGCATAAGTGAACGTGTGTTGGGTCAGTAGACTGTGGTAGAAGGAAAGGGAAAAAATGGGGATGGAAGGTGGATCATGAAGTAACTCAGCCTGTGAGTTGGCCAGCAGATCAATGACAATATTTTCAGCATTAGCTCCATTTCAGCAGAGCAACATTACAGTAATTTGAATATAGTATCAACTAAATAGTTGATAAAATAATAGGTTTTTCACTGTTTTGACAGTTGCTGGTTGATTTTTTTTTCCTGTTGGCCAGGAGTTTAGTGGATGTTAAAAAAATGCTTGTATATAGGAGCTTGGAAAATATATAGGATCCTTCATAAAGAAGATAAAAGTGTGCAAACGTATATGTTACCAGGTGAAATTAAAGATAATTAGTGTCCAGCATCTCCCAGCATGTTTTAACCAGAGTGGTAGATTCATTTGGGGAAATTAATGTATTCTTTTGTGAAAGCCTCTGACCTTGACTGGGAAGAGGAGTTTGACTGCACAGACTCACTGCTTCTGCAGCAAAACTTGTGCTCAAAGGAGCATTTCATAATAACTAATATGCCTGGGCTGGCTTAATTCCTTCCATGCCTACAGTTATAACTTTGACACTCTAGGTGGCAATACACACTCACAGCAAGTTACCATGAATCTGGAAAATGTTTTGGACATGCTTTTATTCCAGACTGCTACTCAAAATTCAAGCAGTGACATCATGAATGCTAATCATGTCCTTACTTGATACATAAATAAGGGCAGATCAACTCAAGTCCCTGATCATAAGGTGACACAAGGTTGTCAGCATAACTGGAGTAAAAACATTGTGTCAAGGAGTTTTGATTCATCTCTTAATTCTCTTCAAATCTCCTCATCCCGCCAAAACCAAAAAGCAACCAACCAAACCCAATTATCAATTTAATACATGGGATTTTGTTGTTACTGCTTTGTATCACTGCTTCCTTTAGTTAGAACTGGGGAACAAGCTTTATCAGATTGTGTGTTGGATGAAAACCTCAGCTGGTGTCTGAAGGCTACTTGAAATGTCTAATATGAGGCAGAGAAAGGTAAGTGCTAATTCAAAAGAAAGTAACTCACAAAGAAGTATTTAAATGTTTGTATATATGTAATTATTTGCGGGGTATGAAGAAAATTAAGAGAAGGGAGATACTTATTTTCCTATTTCCTGAATAAAATTCCTACTTCATGCTTTTTGTATTAGAGAATTTGATGGTGATGTAAACTATATTTTAACAGTATATTTTATTTAGTGTTGTATTTGAAAGTAGTAGTTGTAGTCAGTAGTAGTTTATGGTTTTAATGTTCTCGGTGAAGTATTCTTATATTCATGACTTCTTAGTAACTTCTAAGGACTTTAAAAATACTGTTCTTTCTTCTCTTAAAACCATACAGACAATAACTTTTTCCCCTACTGAAGGAAGAAGTAGTTTTTTTATTAGTGATATGTTACCATTCCTAGGGAAAAAAAATGTGAAAGTGGGATGGAAGCAAGCTAAATTTTTATTTCTGTGTTTACTTTTTTTAAAAAATGTTATGGTGGATGATTGTTTATCTGCTTTTTTTGTCTTATTTTACAAAAATGAACTTTTGAAAGAAGGGATATGGACTAGCTAAGCATTCAGGTTTTTTTCCACTTTCTTTATGTGAATGCTTGCAGTTCACATTTGGATTGGAATATGATTAATTAAGTGATTTACCAAGTATGAGGTTGAAAAAATGAAACAAAAATAGCATTGTACTATCTGCAGTGGAGTTTAAGCTAGAGAAAAGCCTTTCATGCAGAGCTGTGAATGGAAATGAGCCATTCATTGTTCTCTTCCACAGGTGAAATTTGTGTCCTTCTTTTGAGTAGTACACAGATGCATTCTACCTAAATTGAAACACAATAATAAATTTTATGGGATCTACTCAAAGTGTCAAATACCTCTCTCTGAAGTCTGATGTTGCATGCAGGATATTTTCTTTTGATGCTTCTACTTGTAGAGTATGGAAATTGCTTTCAGTTTCTTTTAATTCCTGGAATAAAAAACAAAACAACACAAAACAAAACAAAACAAAACAAAAAAAAACCACCGAAACCAAAAAAAACCCAAAAAGCACCACCTTATTTTGTTTCTGATTACATAATTATTATGTAAAAACTGCTTTGACACAAAGTAAGCTTCCAAAATCCTTTGGTTTCATGATCATCATTTGGAAATCACAATTTTTTAAAAAAATCAAATAATCACAAAAGGTTACATCTGTGAATCCTGTAATAGTTTTTCTTCTTTTACCTTTATGAAGTTGGAGAAACCTGTGATTGAAAAGAGGAAAATGTACTTCAGAAAAACTTCTGTATTTCTAAATGTGTAATGTGCAAATACAGAGACACCAAAGACAGCTTTTCATTGTAGAAATTTAACTCATAAAAATAATTCTGAAGTAAGATTGCGCAATACCGTATGAAAATAAAATCAGTCACACTAATTTGATGTGATTTTCACAATGATGGAACTAAACTCATTCTCTCTCCTAGGCTAGTCAGTTTTTCCTCAGAAAAGAAAAATATTAAAGATGTTTTCATATGAGGAAGGAATTGAAGAGAATACGACTTAAAATATCACCTATGCTAATTCCTGTGATAAAAAACCTACAATTTAAAAACACACTATAGCAATTAGCAAACAGATTGGTATAAAAATTATGTAAGAACTAAGACACTGAGTTATAAGAGAAGAATATTGTTTTAGAAATGGGTGATTGCTGCAAGGAAAGAGTAGACTTAATTTCTTGAAGAGAAGTAAGCTTAAATTACTTTGCTTTCCTTTTAGAAATCTGGGTACCTAAAGGTGAAATTAGAGCAGCAGCAATAACAGCCAAGTTAATGAGTTTGACTGTTCATATTATGGTATATTTCTATTATTTAGTATGGGATAACTACTCAAAACACTATTTAAAGAACAGTTGTCATAACAGTGCTTTGCCTAGCTGACACCAGCATCTGCTGATAACTGCCTGCTGCTTTCAACACGGGGTACTCAAAACCATGCCTGCAGGCCACGTGCAGGTGAATCCAAATGGTTCCCTGCCTTTTCTGCCATGGCTTGGCCACCAGGCAGAACGTGATGGGGAGCCCTTGCCCAGACCCCACAGCTGCTGGGTGGCCTGTGAAAGCCAACACTCAAGTGTTTGTCCTTTGCCTGCAGAGCACCCAGCA